ACCGAGGCGCCTTTATGGGCAAGAACATAAAGGTTGCATACATGCAGCGTGTCATTCATTTACTCGCTCTCTGGACTGAAGCGAGTGGTTTTCAGCGGTTTTCTCTCTCTGCAGCCGTCCAGCGGGGTCGCATCCCTCCATCGCACTCAGGTATCAGTCCCAACTCCCTGGCGGGCGGGATCGCGGGTGTGGGTCCAGGTCACATTGGGGCGGACTACTTCAACGGCCAGCCGGTGTCCGAGCTCATCTCCCAGCTCCTCCGGGCCGAGCCGTATCCCCCGAGCCGCTACGGGGTGCCGTACGGCCAGGCACAGATGCAGGCATCTGCGAGCGGCGCCTCCGTCATGGGCATCGACAGCATCTGCGAGCTGGCAGCCCGTCTCCTCTTCAGCACCATCGAGTGGGCCAGAAACATCCCATACTTCCCGGAGCTCCCGGTTTCAGAGCAGGTCAGGTCTAAAGCGCGGTGACTTGCAGTCGCCAAACTGAACAACAGACACTCGTGGCTCAAAGTGACCCTTTCGCTCCACAGGTGGCGCTGCTGAGACTGAGCTGGAGCGAGCTGTTCATCCTTAACGCGGCTCAGTCGGCTCTCCCGTTGCACATGGCTCCTCTGCTGGCGGCAGCCGGCTTTCACTCGTCTCCCATGTCCGCCGAGCGCGTCGTGTCCTTCATGGATCAGGTCAGGGTTTTCCAGGACCAGGTGGAAAAGCTGAACAGGCTTCAGGTGGACTCGGCCGAGTACAGCTGCCTCAAAGCCATCGCGCTGTTTTCTCCTGGTAAGTCTGATCTTCTTCTTTCGAGGTTATGTGACTGACTCACTGCGGCGCGATCTCTTTACTGTAAACTGAGCCCACGGGTTGGTCAGAGAACCAAAACAAAGCTGTCGGAGGCATCACACACGTTTCTCAGAAATAAAATCACCGCCGTCTCAGGGAGGCGCTTTGATTTGGCCTCTTTGACCTCTGACATCTTCAAGTAGCCCAAACCACAGACGTCCTGTTACTCAGTAGTAAAGTGCAAGAATTATAAATAAACACAAACAAATGTCAAACGGGCCAAAATAAAGTTCAGATCTCTGAGTTTAAAACAGGGGTGCCAAACATAAGGTCCAGGGACCACGATCTGCCCACCAAAAGATTCCAGTCTGGCCCAGTCGGAAGCTTTGGAAAATGTAAACAAGTAACACAGAAGTGAATGTTATCATTTTTCACAATCTGCAGCAGAAATGTCTATTTTTAAAGTTGGTGCACACACTTTCAGACAAAAAGCAAGCAAAACCTTTTGCACTGGTCATCAGGTGATGACACAACCTCTGTTTTTCTGCCTTTAGACGCTTGTGGTCTGACAGACCCGGCTCACGTGGAGTCCCTGCAGGAAAAGGCTCAGGTCGCCCTGACGGAGTACGAGAGGTTGCAGTACCCCAACCAGCCTCAGCGCTTCGGCCGCCTGCTGCTGCGCCTCCCTGCGCTGCGCGCCGTGCCGGCTAACCTCATCTCCCAGCTCTTCTTCATGCGGCTGGTGGGCAAGACGCCGATCGAGACGCTGATCCGAGACATGCAGCTATCAGGGAGCTCCATCAGCTGGCCCTACGCACCGGGACAGTAAAGCCAGCCAGAGTGAGATCACACTGAGATGACTCAGAGCTGCGGAGGTCACTTTTTCCTCTCGTTAGCTCTGCAAAGTTTGCCCGATATGACACCAAAGCTGCTTTCAGGGAAAGAAAGTTTGATCGTCTCTAAGGTTTGCAGCAGACCTCTCTCGCCCTCATTCCGGATGAACTCGGCTTTCGGTAAAACTCCTTACCGCGAGGCCACGTGCCGGCACTACCTCCTCCCCCATCGCCCCCAGTGTGACTTGAAACCAGAGTGCGCTCTGAACGAAGCCATAGCAGCGCCACTTGCTGTACGCTGCCGTGGCCGGGACGCGGCGTGCAGGTCGCACGCAAGCTGTGTGACGCTTTGTGCTGAAGTAAGAGACTTTGCTGCCAGACGAAGCATTTGTGAAGACGGCGACGCGTCGCCTCATGCAGCGCTTCAACACAGAGGAGGCTGCAGATGTATATACGACACCTGTTTTGTACGCCGTGTTCAACACAGATCAAAGTAAATCACTCAGGACTGTATGAGAAACATGAAGCTGTGCCAGCTTCAGCTCGCTCTGTGCACCGGTACCAAATCCAGCAGACAGCACAAAAAGCTTTTTTAGCCCCTTCACGAGGTGCTGGAAGGTTACAACGATCTTCTATCTTCTATTCTGAGCTTAAAGCCGGCAGCTGAAGCCTCAAACGGCCACGAGAGCGGCGCCGACCTCCTCGACCATTTATCAGCAGAAAATGTTGAACTGTTTCTTTTTAGTACGTTACACAACGCTGCAGAAGCTGCCGTTAGAAATCAAGCGAATGTACTTAAACACAGCCGGGCTCCTCGGGACGGTCGCATCCCAGTCGGACATTATTACCTCATGTTTTATACGTCGCTGACAGATGGAGATTGTATAGAGAACTATGTGTGTTAAAGATATTTACAAAGGGATCAAGGCACTGCTATCACTGTAAGCAAACAGCAAGACCCAGCGGGCAGGTCTTAGCCAGAAATAGAGATTAAAATGTTAAATGTCACGTGAGAGGACTTTAATCGTTTGAGATCATTTAGTGGAAGCTACACTGAATCAGGTGACGCCCGCTTTGCTGATTATTCTGTGTCCTGTGCTTTTGTGAGGCTAGATGTGGTTTGAGTTGTTATTTTGTGTCAGCGGCCTCTTCGAGATGATTGTGAGCGCCACTCTGACGTGAGAGGAACTTTGTTATTGGTGTGTTAGCGCGACGACCTGCAGCTCATTGCGATGAATTGTGATGTTTGTTTTGCCAAACTGACTGAAGTAAGACGACGAGCAGGTGATCATTTCTGTTCTTTTTACATTTCCAGTTATGTCGTTTAAAAGAAGGCGAGCGAGGCCACGAGCCCTCGCGCTGTCAGACGACTTCACCGCTTTGATGTAAACTCCAGTGATTTGATTGTGTAGCTTTACGTTTAAAAGAATCATCTTTGTGTGACTGCGGCAAAACTGAAACATGCAAAAGACGCCCGCGCGTTATTTTTGCATTGGAAATAAACGTATACGTTATTTTGAGTGGTGCATTTTCTTTCAGACGTGACGAATAACTTCATGTGTAACATGTTTGAAGAGACCACCGGGAACTACTGTATCAGGCACGTTTACATGCAGGGGTGGAGGAGGTGGGGTTTCTCTCAGAAAACATGAGAATTTCTCAAAATTTGGCACAAACGTGGACTAAGTGATGAGATCGTCTCTGGTTTGTGCACTAATTAGGACCACATTTCACACCAACGTGTAGAAAGGTGAAACAATACAGTCAAAAAGGTCAAAAGTCGATTCTGGTCAGACGTGGGTCACGAGTGCGCCGTGACTGGTTGTTGGAAGCAATAAAACTCATTCAGCTGCTCATGACAGGTTTAAATGAACTGCTGAAGACAGATGTGTGATGGAAATAACTGATACCTGCAGCCTGAATGCGGCAGAGTATGTGCAGATTTGCATGAGCTAATGCAGCTGAAGAGGTTGTGTCGGTGACCTCATAAGAGCCCCTTAGACTAACTAGTTTCACACTTGACTGCTACACAAACAGAATTATGTGAGTGGAAGTGGCAACACAAACCTTAGTAGTGTTGGTGACGAGTACATAGTTGCTCTGGTGACAAAAGTTACAATGTGCAGCCATGACCAGACTTTGTGTCCGTTGTCGCTTCAGTCTTACATCTTCCTGCGATCGTGTGCAGAGTCACAGGACAAGAGTCGGTATTTATCAGCTCGTGGGCCAAAGCCCGAGTGATAAGTGATCTATTCCAGTCTTATCAGTCCTCCAAGCCTGTACGCTCCCAGTTGCTTATTAGGGACTAAAAACATCCTCCTTTAAAACGGTGACAGTCTAAGGCTACGTTCACACTGCAGGTGAAAGCGCATCAAATCCGACTTTTCTGACCCTGTGCGACTCATATCCGATCATGGTGTGACAGTGTGAACGCCACAAATCCGATATTTTCAAATCTGACCTGGGTCACTTTCGTATGTGGTGCTGAAGCTGATACATATCTGATGTTTTAGAAAGCGACTGCTGTTTGATGGTCATGTCGCATTAAATCCGTCTTTTACGTCACCGACACAAGACAGACGCCGATTATAAGCGCCCGACATCGCGAACGCTGCCTGGCCATCCCGTGTAGATGTCAGTGAAACTGTTGGGAAGACAACGCTGGAGAAACGTGAACATTTTCTTTGTACTGCAGATTCTGACAGAAATCTGCAGCTATCCTTTGAAGCAGCGCTCCTCTCTAAAACAGCAATAAGGATCATTATTAGGCCAAATGTAGATAACACAATAACTTTATAACTTAAAGCAAAATTGGGAAACGTAAAGTCCGAAACAAGTCTTTATAGTAAGGCCATCAGTCACACAATACTGTTTGGTCTGGGTCTAAACAGAGCGCGTTGTGTGTGACGTCTTCTTTTCTGCATGCGGGCGCTTTGAGCGTTCACACTAGAGCACGTTTGCTGTCGCATTTTATTTATCGTGTGAACAAGCAGACAAAAAAAAATCAGATTTGATCAAATCAAAATTGAGCATTAAGACCTGCAGTGTGAACGTAGCCTAAGCAATTTCCAGCATGCTGGAGCGCCGTGTCACAAGGCAAAAATATTGAAACCGAAGGATTGTTGATGGATCAACAGCCAATCTTTATGATAGGAACGGATTAGGATCAATTGGGATTTGGCCAGAAGCTGATTTTCAGCAGGCGGCAGAGAAGTGGAGAAAAGTTTGAAACAGAAATAAAAATCTGACTAAAACCTGAAGCAGGAAAGTACAGAAACGCACCACCAGAGGGCAGTATTAGCTCACATTAGTCTCACTGACGGCTGCATCAGCAGCGCTCCTGCTCCCCCTGCTGGCAACTCGCTGCACATGCACTCCAGAGCAAATAGAGAATTAGAAATGTTTATTATTCACTAAATTCAATACTTTTTAGACAACATCATTTATGGAGGTACACAGTTACAAAAATGGTCTTTTTATAATAGCGTCAAAGAAAATAAATTCTTACAAAAATAAATGGCTCGCAAATGGTTTTTAAAATGACAACAATGTTCTTCATAAAAATACAAATGCAAGACGAATCACAAGCGAGTCTACATGAATTTAAGGTGTACAGTAGATTTTCACAAACGCTGAGAATTAAAGCTCGTTTTCATTGGCAAAGAATCAAATGAGTTCAGCTTATCGACAGAAACAGCGAGGCGGGTTTTTCAGGAGTGTGATGAAAACATACAGACACTGTGGTTAATTTGACTAATTTGCATAGTTTAAACACACAACTATGAGCCTACAGTATGTACAAGCACTAATGAATCCCCAGGTTTTAGAGACCAACTGTAAATTTGTTCTGATATATACGAAGAGCACGACTCGTTAAAAGAACGCACAATACAACACTGCCACACACAGCCTGTTGGCCAGTTTTGGTGTCACAACATCTGTAAAAAAATATAAAAATCTCAGTGTCGACAAAAGCAAAAAAAACGGTAAAAGAAAGCTGTTAAGTTCAGCCACATTTAAGGTCGTTACGAACGCCGACGTGAGAAACCCTCAGCTAATGTTCGTCGGCCACACAGAGGCTGCGTGTTTGCTCACCTACAACATCACCGACTCTTATCTGTGGAGGAAAAAACAAAGAAAAGTCGCCTATCAGAGAGCAAACGCAGAAAAGCGAGCAAAGCGTTACCTCGGGCGACTAATTATTAGGTGACCTTCAAACCGCCTTTGATCCTCAGGAGTAACCGTACCCTGCAAGCACTGAGGCCAAACAGGCCGGAGGCTCCTCCCCTCATTCTCTCCCAAAATCAGCGATTATTTGTTTACAGTAGATCATTAAACTTGCAGCGTGTTCCCCGTGTGTGTGTGAGCGTGAGTGTGTCCTTTAACTTTGGTCTCAGCAGGTCACAGAGTCTTTGTGGCATGTTGGAGTGCATCATGTGCTGTGGGCAGAGTGGGTGCTCCTCAGTGGTTCTTGTCATAGTCCTTCACCATGCGTTTGATGTGGAACAGTTTGTGTCTCAGCCGGCGGCACTCTGTCTTCTTAGCCTGGTAGTCGGACGTCTGCAGACGCAGCACAGAAAAGTCCGTTAAAACAGAAACTCCACACAGGTTTGGGTCAAAGGTCTTTAATAATAATAAATAATGTTTGTTTTAGGTGAGTTAATAAAAAATGCCTGATATGTCTCCTCACCTGCTTCAGGTCCTTCAGCTGGTTATATTCCTCAGCTACAATCTGGGGAATAACGCAGAGGTTATAAGGTTTGGTGTGATCGTCATACACAAAGGAAACATTAAAGCTCACATTTTGTGTCTTTTATGCACAAAGAGCTTAATAAGCAATGACTTTTTTAACACAGTGGCTCTGAGTCACTCTTCACCCTCGATAAAGGCCAAGTCGAGAGACTCTACAAAGTCAGACAGGTTGGAGTTGTGATCCGAGAAATGAACTGTACAAAAACTGACAGTTAATGGAAAACTCTGATATTAGCATAACTCCCTGTAACAATTCTCAGAAAGGTTAGTGTATTTATAACAGCGGGGGACCGATCAGCTTCTAAAAGCCAACGAGTAATGATGGAAAAAGCTGCTGCGTGTGACTCTCGGAGCTTAATATAGACGCTTTTCCATTAGTATCTACTCGGATCGACTGGTTTTCCATTACAACTGAAAACCAGCTAATGTGCATGATCGTTGTTATAGCAACGCATCCGACTGCGTAATTAGTATGCGTCACGAACGTTGAGGCGACGATATAAACTCCGGGTTAGTCTGTGTGGCTCCTCGTCACGCTCGGGGAACGCAACTCATGACTCTGCGAATAACGCCACTGACCAGCCAATCAGTGGCGTGCAGTCTGACGACATCACATTTTAGTACCTGCTCGGATCGCAGGTACGATGACCTGATGGAAAACCCTGAAAACTGTGGCGAGTCGATCCGAGTAGGTACCAAGGCGGACTTTATCATCGCAGTTTTTTAAGTGACAAACACAATAAATACGTCAAATATAGAACAAATGTAAATGTTTGTTTTGTCGTCTTTGCAGATCCAGGATCGTATTTATTATGTGAAATGAGTTCCACTGAGGGGGAGCTTCTCTATGATCCTGCTTTAGTGTCCTTTCCGTGTCCAGGCTCGTGCAGCTCAGCCGTGTCGTGACTTTCTGAGGAGAGGTTTCATTTCACCTGGTATTTGGCTGAGGTGTCGTCCAGCGTGTCCAGCTGCCGGCTGAGCTTGTTCAACTGGTCGTTAATGTCGTCCATCTCAGCACACAGCCGCTTGTACTCCCGAAGGTCGGCGTCAAACTCTCTCTTATAATCGTGTCGCTGATCATCCGATGTTATCTCTGGGTACATGCTGGAGGAAAAGAATGAAGGGAGGCAGGTGGTGCAGAGGAATAAGTGATGGAGAGACAGCAAAGGAAAGAAAGACAAACATCAGCATCGCAAATAAATCTCGACCAGTCAAAATGCAGAGTTATCAACTTCATCAGTCAAGTAAACGTTTACTTCTACAGCACATTTAAAACAACCAGCTTATAAGCATATGCCCCATAATAACAGTCACTAAATCAACTGCAAATATACGCTAAAAATCATTAAATAAAACTAAGTAAAAAATGCTTTTTCTATAATAAAATCCAGCTCAACTAGAACTGAAATGGATCTAGGAATATCCAAGAGCAGCTGGCTCACAGACCTCAGTGTCCTGATAGTTTAATAAGGTGGCGCCAAACCATTAAGACAAGTGCTGACATTTTAAACTGGATCCTGAAACAGAGCCAGTATCAGGAGACCAATTAGGGCTGCCACGATTAGTCGACTATCAGAATCGTCGATGACTAATTTAATAGTCGACGCGTCGTTTGAAGCTTTGTAAGATCCCAAAAGACGCAGGAATAATAGCAGGATTTAAGAGTGTAATAACGGACTGAGTCCCAGAATTCATAGCGCAGCCCAGCTCAGTTTCCAACAATGGCGGCAGCTAGTTAGTTTTAATATTACTCTTATTATTCTTTCTGGGTCACAAAATAAACGTTTAACATATTTTCAGGCGAGAATGTAGCTGTGTAAACCTCAAATATCTGCTCAGTTTATCAGGACACCACATATTTTCAAAAGCGCTCCGACGTTTTCGGAGACGTCTGTTACCCACTAGCTCGATAGCTAGCCGGGGGCTAGGCTAACTAGTGCCGTGAGAACACCGGACTCCTGGCAAATCGTTTCAAACCCACCGCCGTCTTTCACTACTCAGGTTAAACATGATTTATGAGTCACTTAGATAAATTAAAAATGTTGTTGTTTGGCTTTTTTCAGTATTTTATTTGTTCCTGAGTAAATCTGTTTGGCTGAGATTAAAGTTATAGTTTTTACACAGCTGAATAAACGTCAAGCAGACAGCTGATTATCAGAAGTGTGAGATGCTGGAGAATTTACTCCGGTGTCCTGTTATATTTTAGATAGCAAGGAGTTTATTAAACTTCACCGAAACAATCTGCAAATTTCATTAAAATTTAATAAACTATCATCTTGTCTTTATTTTTAGTTAGCACAGACCTTAAAAGCTTAAAGCTGTAAGCTAATGATAGTTATATAAGAGCAGATGCTGCTGGTGCAATAAGCTGTACGTTTTACGTCCAATGGATGATGATCTGATTAGTCGACTAATCGCAAAAAATAATCGGTGACTAGTCGACTATCAAAATAATCGTTTGTGGCAGCCCTAAGGCACGCCCTTTCTTTCATGCAAAAGGTGAGCTGCTGCTCAGCGTTCAGGCCAAGTCATCAAAGCCAGCATAAAAGAATGACTGATATTCCTTCAGCACAGAAACACTGAAAGTTCAGCTGTGGCGAGTTCAACTTTAAATGTCTCCCTCTGGGATACTGAAAGTGTGAATAAATGTAACCATGCACAGTGTAAATTTCCTGTCTCTATAATGGACCTTGTACCTTTGTCCCACTTCTCTAATTATGGCCGAGTACAGCTCATGTGAGGCGGCATGCTTTAGAGGATTAACTGCTCTCCTGGACAGAACGAGGGAAACGCCGCGGCCTCTCGTCCTTTGAGTGTCTGTAACTTTACCATTTTAAACGTACATGTTTCAAATCAAGAGATGTTCTCCCTGCACTTTCCGTAAATGAAGATACTGTGCATGGTCTTCTGAGCTTAGGAATTAAGTCGTGTCAGAGAATATAGGTCAGGTCCCGAGGGCACGACAGCATTCGGCTGCAATCCCCATCCTGAGTTTTTTGCCTAATGACATTTTCTTCTCTAATCCAGACTGTGAGTGAGCAGCTCACAGATAAAGTAGAAGATTATTTCTCACCTCTCCAATTCTTCTGCATCCAGTTCATTGCCCGTCTCTCCTCCCGTGGTGTACTCCGTGTCATACTGAGACTCGTCCAGTTCTGGGTTACGTCTGCGCCTCTTGCCCCTGTTTGCGGAGGGTTTGCGGCCTCCGCCCGTCTCTTCTGAGGGGCTCGAGCTGGTCCCCCCGCTGTGGAAGAACATTTCTGATGGCCGGCTGTTTGTCCGTTCAGAGTACCTGCAGAAAAAAGACATGAGAACGCGGCTTCTTCTTTCACGGGCTTACCCCCCCGAGGGGGTAATGATTATAAGTTTAGAAGAGCTTAGAGCTCCGAGCTTTTTGTTTTTCACCAAAGAGATTTTTGCATTTGTGTTTTTCATCAGTTTGGGAAACAGTAATGACAAACATCATCCCACAAATGGAAAAGATCAGCAGCGTTTAAACCATAACATGCTTGACGCTGCAGATAGGAGCACATGAAACAGACAAAACCAATCGATAACGTCAGCAGAGTTTTTCCATGTTAATCTCTGATTTAATGATCGATACTACTTTCTTACATTATGCAGCTAGACTGGAATTACATGTAAAAGAAATTTGGGGAGGGAACTTTGCATTATGAGGCTAAGATTTAAAAAAGCAGACTGTTTTCATCGTGCAATATGACCCAGAGTTACTGCAAAAAAGACGATCGCGTGTGCTGCCACCCTGTTTCCTTTTCGCTCAGCTTCCTTTAGCTTTTTTAGTTTTCACAGTGCAGAAAGGTGTAGTCAAACATTTTAAAAATATTTAACCAAAGATTAAAAAGCTCTAACGACATTATAATCACAATAATAAAAGAGTGCTCCTAAATGCCCCCGGCAGACGCCATATGGAGGAAGGCAAAGGTAGACCTTTACTAACCCATTTATGATTATTGCTGCTCATATCTACAATCTGACTCTGTGCCGTATGGAGGCTCTCAGTGGCCAGGAAGCAGCTACAGCTCTTTAATAATGAGAACGAGAGACACATTCAATTTTGTGGGGATTTGTGGAGGAATCCAAATCCAATGGCACAGATATTACAAGCTCCTAAAAAACAACTGTGCACACTGCATCTCTGCTGCTTATCAAACACAGGTTCTGTTTGCCTTGTGAGGAAAATCTGCACTTTGAACCACATCGACTCAGCGTAAAGTGTGTGTATTTTGTGCTGATAACAGCACAGTCTGAGCTGATATCTATATCTATATCTATCTATCTATATATATCTATCTATCTATCTATATATATCTATATCTCTATCTATATATATCTATATCTCTATATATATATATTATATCTAATATATATATCTATATATCTATTATCTTATATATATCTTATATATATATATATCTCTATATATATATATATATCATATATATTATATATATATTCTATATATATATATCTCTATATATTATATCATATATATCTATATCTATATATATATATTCTATATATATATATATATATATCTCTATATATTATCTATATATAATATCTCTATATATACTATATCTAAGTATCATGATATATAACTTATATATTCTATACTATATATATGTATATCTATATATCTTATATATCTATATATATATCATCATATATATATCTCAATATATATCTCTATATATCTCTATATATCTATTTTATATATCTCATATTATATTTATATATATATCTCTATATATTCTATAGTATATCTATATATATATATTCTATGATATCTATATATATAGATATATTAATATATAGAGATATATATATATGAGAAATAGATAATATAGAGATATAAATATTATAGAGTATATATATGAATATTATATATAGAGATGAAATATTATATATATATAATATATATATATATATATAATAGATATATAGAATATATAGAATATATATATAGATATATATGATATATATATATATAGAGATATATATATAGATGATATAAGAAATATATATATATGAGATATATAGAGATATATATATAATATATATATATATATATATATATATAGATATATATATATATAGATATATATAGATATATATGAGATATATATATATAAGATATATGATATATATATATATAGAGATATATATCATATATATATATAGAGATATATATAATATATAGAGATATATATATATATATATATATAAGATAGAGATATAATTAATATTATATAGATATATATATATATATATATATATATATATATATATAAAATATTATAGTATTATATAAACTATATTATTAATATCCACTATATATAATATCTCTCTCTTCTCTATATATAGATATATATATATATAATTAGTAGAGAGAGATATATATATATATATAAATATATATATATATATAATATATAGATATATATAATGAGAATTAATAATATATATATATATATATATATATATATATATACATAACACCTGTGATGCAATTATATATTATATATATATATATAATATATATATATTATATAAAGAAGAGAATTTATAAATATATATAATATAGTAAAATAATATATAATATAAGATAATATAGAGAGAAGATAGATAATAGAGAGAGAATAGTATATAGATATTTAATATTAATATATTATAGATGATATATATAGATATAATATATAGATATAGATATAGAGATATAGATAGATAGAATAGATATATAGATAGATAGATATAGATATATAGATAGATAGATAGATATAGATATATAGATAGATAGATAATATATATATATATATATATATATATAAAGACAGAAGGAAGTGTTTGTGACACAGCTTGTATCCAAACACTGCAAAGACAACAAAAACAAGGTGCTTCAGAAATGCAAATATCCTGCTGTCGTCCTCAGAGAATTCAAACAACATGAAATTTTTACAAAAGGGAAAATTAATCCAACAAGCACTCAAAAAAACACAGATCTGTGTTGTGGGCAGGGCAATATGTTTTTGTGGGGTTTAACATGGTTGGGTGAGCCATGTGCTCTAAAGTGGGCTTTGCTTTCTGTCAGAGGACCCCCCCCCCCCTAAAAAATATAAACAGATTAATTCTGCATCATTGAGCCAAAGAATCTGTGGCAAAGATATTTTGTAACAATCTATTTCTTTTCTCTTCCTCTGATACAATAAATATGTTCAATGATAAGTCCTGAGCTCAGGGTAAAGTGTGTGTTCTTATTAGTGATCTCACACAGCTGACTGAAGTGACACAAATCAGGAAGCACGAAACAGTTCTGTGGTTCTGGCACTGTGTGAAAGGAATAACAATCTACAATAATAATAATACAGAGTATATACTATACATGCCAGCTCACGGTGTTGAGATAAGTATCCAAAGAAAAGTGAACCACCTACTCGTTGTTGTCGTACGCATCGTCATTGTAGGAGCTGCTCTCCACCTTGGGTGGGGAGTAGGAGACGACGCTGTTAACTGCGGTGTTAAGCGGCCCGCCTCCCTTCTCTGACACCAGCAGGGTCGGGGCATCCTGAACACTCCGGCTTTCCTCCACATTGTTCACCTTCAGCAGGACGGAAAAAGCAGAGAGAGCAGGTTCAGCAGCTGCAAACAAACAGCTGAAGCACTCAAAGACTAGACCAGCACACGGCCTCGTTTCTCCTCTGACACATCGGATCCACCAAAACCATCTACTGGGAATTTGTTTTGTGCCATGTGTCATTCGTAATATTTACTAGTTCTACTTAGCAAAAGCTTTGAAGCAGTGAAATATACTAAAGTAGAAAGTGATAAAGGAAAGCGTTGGCTTCAATGATGGCTTTTAAAGACAAAGAGATGAAGGAAAAAGTTTAGTAATTAGTACTTTAAGTCTGAGTGAGCAGTCAGGCATAAAATTGCACTTTGCAATCCAACTCCACACTGAGCAGCTCGGCTCGCAGTGCACGAAAAGCTCAGGAGAGCGAAAACAAAGGAGAGCTACAGGAGGTGAATTATAAATCAAAACTAAGACTAACCAAAAATAAACCAATTCTTTCAGACTGCAATAAAATACTGTTTGTTTTACTGACGCCTGTTTCTGATCCTTAAAACCTAAAGCAGTGAATGACATACACAGCAATGCTTCACTTCTTTCTACTCTCTCACGTCTTCACGGACACCTGGAACGGATCTGCCCTTCCTGTCTGGCGTTAAACAAAAGGAGTCGAAACGTTTCCCTGTATTTCCAAGTCCTTCCTGTGAGGTCAGGTGACAGCATGACGGCTTTCCTCACAGTGAAGGCCTCAGGGTCGGTCAGTGTTTAAGCCACTAAGTGTATCAATGATTAGACCTGCAAACAAAGCAGCGGCCTTGAAACGCGCTCTACTATCTCTACTACCTCGCACCGAGGGTTTACTAACCAACCACCGTACACAGCGCTACTCCTGTGATAACATCGCACAGGTTTTCCGCTCTCTAGGTGGTACATCGCTAAATTCCTGAGAGCTAAACATCAGCCTTGCCCCTAAAAAACAATAATCACACTGGGTGGAGCGCTTGGGTGGGGGCGAGCAGGGCTTCGTGCAGCTGCAGGAGAATCCTGTTGGAAGAATCTCAACAATGTCCTCTCAGTGAGAAGCACAGCGGCTGTGAGCGCAAGCACAGTAAGAATGTCTGAGAGTGCTGGGCCTGCTGAAGCAAAGCCAGGAGGCAAAGATTGACAGGAAGATTAAAAAAATGGCTCGCAGGCAATGTTGGATGTTGATGAGGAGGCGCTGACCCATGGAGCAGCAGTATAAATGAGGCATAAGTGCATGTCAACAAAGGAAGGAATTAGGGGGCATAGACGAAGAAACAGAGTCTTGATGGAGACTCTTAAGGCTTAAAAGCAGAAAATCAGGAGATGTGTCTGTGTCAGCCGGGAAAGGTCGGCTTGCATAACTTTATAAACCTTTTATTTGAGGTAATTAAGTAGAGATGATGGTCTTTACAGAAACTTGTTAGAGCAGTGTCTAATCACAGATTTAACTACTTAGACACGAGGTGAAAATGTGGAAGAGTAACCGATTCTTTGCTCTCCAACTCTCACCAATATTTTCCTCATTATAATGTTGAGTTCACGCTGCTTAAATGTCCTGACAGAACATTTTCTAACTGTGAAGCAGCTCAGGATGCTGCAGACAGCCCTGCAGGAACCGACTCTGATGACCTCATGCAGCACACACAATGCAGCGCACCACCTCGGGCCAGCTGAATGCAGCTTGTGTGTGAGGTCATCAGAGCGAGCCAGGCCTCCCTGAGCTCAACAACAGAGACGGGTCCAATCTCAGACCGACCACAGCCTTAGACTGTCACTCGCCTGGTGCTTAAAGGAGCCAAACGAGGCCGATGACTCATTCTGTGGCAGCGACGCAGGTAGTGTGTCAACAAAGTAATAAAAAAAGCCTGCGGTGTGAATGTGACTGGCTGTGATCATCATAATGATAGTAATATAATGAACGTAAGGACAGGAGAAAGCCACTGGCACACGCTGCCCGATGTGCTTCATGTAGAGCGCAGTCTTCATGCAGGAAGTTTGACGCACTGACTACAGATCATATATGTTGTAAACGTATAATTATCTGCTCCCACTGATCATTAAATCCTCTAAGATTCATCTTTCTGACTCTACAAACTCTTCTGTGACTAAAAATATACTTTGGTGTTTTGACTTCCCGGAGAAATTTGTTCCAGTGAAGAGACTTCATTACTGCTCCTGCAACGAGCTTGATGACTTCACTGTGCTCCATTATTAGGCAGCAGTGCTAGTCACTGTGGGCTCTTCTCATTCACTCTGCCCTGCCTGTACACCTCTGCGTGCTATGTTACACTCTCGGGAAGGACGAGCTCTCTCAACAACAAACGGCTCTATATCATTCACCATTACAACACGTCTGTTTGGTGGAACTTCTGGTATCTTTGCAAGAGCTACACTGTGACTCCCAGCGTCCTTCGACACACCGGTGTAATCAAATGATATTAGGCGAGAATGTAGCAGTCTTAGTTTTGGTTGTGCGGCCTGCGTCGGCTGTCTTAGGGCGAGAGGGAGGATGCAGCGGAGAACATGCAAACGCCACACAGAAAGGCCTGATGGTGGAATTGAACCCAGGACCTTCTCGCTATGAGGCAACAGTGTGAACCACTGTGCCCTGTTTAATCATAATTAATCTGGGTTTCTTTCTTTTGTAGCTGGCACGTATCTGCTATGTGCCATGTTTGTATATTTATCTGTGTTTCTGACATTCGAGTGGATGATGTTTGAACAAACACTAGATGGGAACAGGAAATAAAGACCATTAGTGTGATGAGGTGCTGTGCCGGAAACCTGCAGTACATTACGTGACTGAAAACATTTCTTAGATAAAAGTGCACGTTTCTCTGCATCCTTAATTCATCAGACTATCCTGTTACGGCTGGTTATGAACTATAATTAAATCTCTTACACAGCGCTCCCACATTTCAGTGCCTGGTCCTACATGACTGAAAGGCTGTTGACTTTTAGAAAAACACAGAGGCAAACCACCTGCCTGCTTACTATCTCCTCGGGTGGTTAATGATTATTCAGACTGAAACCAGGTTGTAGGCCATTTGCAAACAATCACCGATTGCTATCATCCTGACCCTGAACAAAGTGACTCTGTCAGAGGAAACGTTAGCGTTAGCGTTACTGTTTCCCTGCTGAACCTTTCACAACATCACACATGAAACTCCTCTCGGACTGTGAACTCATAAAGCCAGGCAATAAAAGCATATGAGAGAAGTAAACTGGTGATCAACACCAATCAACTGTCTCTCGACGCAAGTTATATGTTACAAACAGCAGAGGTAATCAACAGACTAAAATAGGGTATGTGCAAGTCTCTGCTTGGCTATTTACAGGTCACCACAATCGCCTACCTGTCATTATCACTGATGACTATCTACACAAGAAGATTACCTCACTGGCAGCTTACCTGCTCACCTACTTCGCTGCCATTTAGCAACAAATCACATTATTTGTGACAGAGAGGTAAAGCAAGTCGGCTTAATCGTTTATGCAAAAGACACAAAACAAACCCCGCTGTGGTTGAGCATTTCATCATCTTATCAAATCTGTCGGTGATTACTGTGCTCCACCTGAGGCTGGATTTAAACTCTGCGTGACCCTGCTCGCTTGACTCCAAGCTCTGCATGCATCGACTCTAGGCTAGTTTGGGGCAAAGGAAATGCAGGAATGCAGGAAGGAAATGCGATTTAGTTTTTTAAATCCTCCATTTAAACCTTATTAAACTGTGTCCACCATCCTGTTGTCTCTTACCCAGTCCTCTACATCTCTGCCCTCTGAGGCCTTCCCACCAACAAGAGGCTCTTCCCAGTAAATATTCGGTTTGCCGTAGCGCCAGATCTTCCCTCTTGTCCTCTGAGCGAAGAAAGCAGCAACACTCAAGGCGATGACAACCAGGAATCCACATGCCATTGCAATTCCCTGGTAACGACAAGAATATGAGTCTGAGTACATCATGAAAGAGATAAGCGCCGAGATAAAGTTGGTTTATCCCGGTACAAAAAGTACAAATGTGTGGCAACATTATGAGTCACAGTGCTGCACAGAACTAATGTGAGAAGGTTTTAACAAGCAGATAACAGAAAACAACTGAAGTCGTTACCATTTTCACTTTTAAACGGCTGATAAACACAGAAATAATTAAAAAACAAATCAATCAAGAAAACCTCTCGCAGACTTTTTACCATTTCAGAATAAACAGGTTCATCAGGCAGCGTCGTCATTAAATAATCCTGGAAACAAATCCTTCATTTAATGTAGCTACAGACCTCCTGTGGGTCCACAAAGCAGTAATGGTACAGGTACTGGTTGTACATGGGGAAGCCTCCCACTCCTCCCATCTGCGAGTAACTGGTCTGGTAAAGATTCTGGCACATCATGAGCATTGGATTGTACATCATACTGGAGGAGCTCTGGGCCATGGGGTTTACCCCCACGATGTAGACGATGTTTATGATGCCCTGAAAGACACAGAAACAGTGCACCGACATATTTAGTGTAAGCGTAAAGACACATGTGACATCTGAGGGCTGATTAGTGAAAGAGACGTTTCAGAGGCAGCAGCATCAGATTACATGATGGCAAACAGTCAGCAGCAATCTTATCACATGTGTGGCGAACACATTGTGAGTCCAAAGGCCACAGTACAAGGAGGAGACAGACACCTTCCACGTTGGACTAACAAATGTTCACTGGCTCTCTGGCTTTCATAAGTATGTATTTAATAGTCAAATCAAGTGGAATCATTTTTAAAAAACAAATATTTATGTTAACAGTAAATGAATGAATCATAACAGTGAAAGCTCCCAGGTCAGCACAGAAAGTCAGACTCTCTCTTTTCACACTGGCTCCAGAGTCGTGCTCTGTACACTGAGCTCAATAAACGTAATGGTGTGCTGGATTAACATCTGTATGCAGCGGTTCAACAGAGCGAAGAGTAGAAGCATTCGGCTTCAAATTATTTTTCTGGTATTTCGGGTTTTAGAAAACATCCAAATTTAAATACTATTCATAACAAAGAAAGGCGTTCCCAGTTTTGACTGTGGGCGTAGGTGTGAGATGGGAAGCTTGCAGGAAAATACTGATGATGATATGATTATGTTAAAAATACACTTTATTATCCTAATGGAGTTCCAGTTTACTATCCACCTGAATTAACCTGAAAGAGCAGAGCTCTCACAGACATGCTTGCTGTCCATGTACGTATCTGTGCATGTGACTTAGTATATCATTACATCACTGAGCTCGGTATCACAACGACTATCAGCTGTTTGCAGTGGACAACGACACCGTCTACAGGCCCAATATTACAAACTTAAACTCAGAAGCTAAACAATCTGTTTGTGTTTCCCTCTATTCATATTTTTGTGGGGACCAAAATCCCCACGAGTCTGAAGACATTTTTGAGGCTCAAAATGTGGTTTTCGAGTCAGGGTTACGGTTAGGGTAGGCTCAGGGTCAGGGTCAGGGTCAGGGGCTAGGGAAAGCATTGTGTTAATGACATGTCCCCACAAAGATATGAAAACATGGTGTGTGTGTGTGTGTGTGTGTGTGTGTGTGTGTGTGTGTGTGTGTGTGTGTGTGAGATTCAGTGATGACTGTAAATTAATTTCCCTTTAAGCTTTACTGTCTGTGCAACAACAGTTTAAGTATATGTCTTGAGCTAAAATTATTTTTGCTGCATGATGATAAAGTTGAGCTCTTTTGGCAGGGGAGTTGGGGATTTTTGTCAAACAGCTGATGAGAACGACTACAAAAGGTTTTGTCCTAAATGGGAGGTTTATGAGGGAGCTCGGGTTACGTTGGGGGGGCTGTAGCTCAGGAGGCAGAGCGGGTCATCGAATAACTGGAAGGTTGGTGGTTTGATCCCTGGCTGCTGCAGTCTGCAAGCCAAATATCCTTGATACTGACCTCAAGTTGCTCTCTGCATCCATCGGAGTGTAAATGTGTGTGAACGCTAGACAGAAAGCACCTGTGTGAATGAGGCATGCTGTGTAAAGCACTTTGAGTGCTCAGGTACATTATTCACCGTGTTATGCTAGCTTTTGTAAATAATTGACTTATTTAAAGTAAAGGGCTCCTGTGTTTCAGTCTCCTCAGTGATGCAGAAGCACAGAGTCAGAGTTCGCTCCATCAGATGAAGGTTCTCTTCTATTATCTCCAGAAAATTAGTAAAAATATATTTACAGCTTTAAAACTGTCCAGCAAAGGTGTTTTTATTTGGCTTTGTACCTTGTTTAGTTTGAATTTGTCGAGACTTCTTTGCTTTACTGATTATTTGCCACTCCCATATTTTACAGTGTTATGATAGCACAACCTGGCAAACACTGAGGAGACAAATAAAGTGTTGAGAAACATAATTTTCACATGAATATTATGCTTTCAGAAGATCACTCACCAAAGTACTTGCACTCCTCTCTGTGTGTGTTAATAAAAAAAGAGCACATGGGAAATTAAAAGCAGTTTTACCTGCAGGGCAGCCATCAAAACGCTGGATATCAAGACAGCCAGGAAGTACTTTCTGCTGCGGACTGCGTTGGTTTTAGAGAAGCTGGCAATGAAGAAGGCCAGTGCTCCTACGAAGTTAATGGCTGCCATGGCAATCATAGCAGCTTTGGCCGAGTAAGGAGAAATGTAGGAGCCGGAGCCGTAGTAGTTTCCGTATCCGCCGTAACCACCGTAGCCCGAGCCGTAGCTGCCTCCAATGTAGCCGCTGCCGTAGCCCATCCCAGAACCGTAGTAACCCATTCCCGAGCCATACCCGTACTGGATATCCCACATGAGCGTGGAAGCCACACAGGCGAATATCGCCAAACACAGCACTATGACTGTGACCATCATGGCTTTGACGATCCCAGGAGGTGACAGCCATTTGTAGAAGTGCTGCGGCTTGTCCTCCATGTAGTAGGATCCCGGTGGAGGTGGGTACACGTTGTAGTCGCTCTGAGGGCCATGGAAGCTCGCCGCAGGCCCAAAGCCATTGTTGGGTGGAGGGGTGAAAGGGGGACTGTAGACCGGCGGACTCTCGTAATGCTGTTTGTCAAACATCGCTCAAAGACGTCTGAAAGTGTAAAGAGAAACACACAAAAAGTCCGTCAGCAACCGAGAGATCAACATGTACGGCGCACAGGCGGGAGGAGCCGTCCTCAGCTGCGTTTCGGCTGAACTGATATGAGCAACGCTACATGAGCAGATACGGGAAAACTAGGTGTGACTAGCAAACGAGGACAGTGTAAATGTTTTACCACTTACAAGGGAGTGCGTTTTATGATGGCACAACTAAGTTTTGTTTATCCAGTTTTCTCCTGTTTGGCTGAGAAAATCGCCTCTTGGACAGATCACATAGAAAAAGACACACAGAGAAAAAAATGAGAGGAATAGCCGCAGTTATGAGGTCTGTGAAGCAGCCGAGTCAGAATCAGTACGGAGACGTCAGTACCAGGACAGGGAGAGCATCCAAACAACAATACTTTCCTTTCTGCCTCTTTACAGGCTGTGGAAGTGTCTCTAGCCTCACAATGTCCACAATTTGAATATTTCACATCTCAGTATCCAGCTAAAACATTTTTCTGCTACACAGAGATTTGCAAGGCCGCAGTTTACGACATAACAATCCCCATTCTTCTAACGCCGAGCTGTACAGGGAGTGGGAGGCCAACACGTTTCACTGAAAGGCACGTAAACAGCTTTCCTGCAGAAGACCTCGAGGCCTCCGTTACCTTTATGTTACTGAAAACTGTGCTCTCTCTGTGTGTGGTGTAAATACGAGTATAACAAAGCGTTACACCTGCAACTCATTAGTTAGCATTATCATTCAACAAATAAAGTGTAACCGGATCTCAAGTTTCATTTAAAACAGCATGTAGACACACGTACAGAGCCGGTGGAAGAGCATGTTTGACATTTTTCTTACTCAGTTTCTGTGCTGAGATGTTTTTCGGGGGGGTTATTGGTAATTAAAAAAAAAGAAGGAAAAAGCCTAAGATGCCGAGTCATTCAGAAGTTTAGACACACAGAGAGACACAGTCCCTGGCACTGCCCACAGTGTCATAACTCTTGCTCTCTTTTATGGGACTCGGGTGAACACAATGGAAGAAGAGGTCTCGCCTCAGAGCCTCCATCTCAGACACCTTCCCATTATACCCTCCCTCGGTCCTCCGTGTCCTTCAACCCCCTTACAATTGCCCTGTCTCTTAACTCTCTCCCCCGCTTCTCTCCTGCCCTCCATAACTTCTTGTCTTTGTTTCAGGAGCAGGAGGGCCAGAAGTCAAGGCTGCCCGTCACGGGAGCAGCGTTGCTATGAAACCAAAGTTAGAGAGAGAGAGAGAGAGAGAGAGAGAGAGAGAGAGAGAGAGAGAGAGAGAGAGAGAGAGAGAGAGAGAGAGAGAAATTGGGGACGATCAAACAAGGGCTCCTCTGTGCTGCTCCTGCACGGACGGAGGCAGAAAACAGAAAAACAGAAAGAGGGGGGTACAGGTGGATGAGCATGTCCTGGGTGCTCGTTTGGTTCCTGCTACTGCGTTTGTTTATATCGGTAATTTAGCTTTTTACAGCAGCCCACTGTCCCCAACTCAATAAATGTTGAGCAATGAAACAAACCAACAGAGGCCCAGAGGAGTGAAATCAAACAATGAGTTTGAATGAACACAGGAGAAGAAGTCTGCAGCATCACATCAGCACACGTCTCCTCCTAAGAATACACTTGAAAATGCTTTTATAACATCGGGGTTAACGCCCCTTCTCACGTCGATTACAGATCAAATACATTGTTTACAGTAAATGGCACATGTTAGATGGCTAAAAAAGTTCCTCTTCCTATAACACCTTCCATACATGGCAATAAATTTCAAGCCTAGATGGTCTAGAGGGCTTGTCCTTTCTTGACTGGTCTTCTGTCATCTGTTACCAAGCAAACTGAAATGCAGTTAGAAGCTAAATGAATTTGGGGCCTTTGGCCTGACAGGATTATATGTGTTTGTAAGCGTGTACGCAATCCTTCTGTGCTCCAAGTCACCTACACAATAGATTGTGAAGACATAGCACTTCACAAAGCTTAAAACCTTCTTTAATAGACTGAGCATCAACTCTGAATGAGCACAAACATGCAATGTGTATAAAATATGTAATAAAAAGGTTAATATGGTGGCAATAGCTTTAATAAACATCTTTAATGCAATATCAGTGCTGTAGGATATTATTAATGCAATGGTAATAATGCAGGTTATATTGTAGCAGTAAAATAATTTCTGTATGTCCACACCACTCAGCTCTGACTGTGTGACTTCTACCTCACATTTAATTGCTTCTCCCTAAAATTTCCACTTGATTGCACAAGCAAAAGCTGAGCACCTCAGGTCATCTCAGGAAGAAATCAGCCAACAAGCCACTACACACTTAAAATACTCTGTTTTAAATAAATAATAAAACTACTACTACTATTACTACTTCAGATTAAGAGCTTGTACATGAACAAGAAAGATGTTTGTGGCTGCAGCACAATGATTGTTACAGCCCACAAAAACATGGGGATTACTTATTGGGAACCTTTTCTCCCAGTACTGGCCTGGATACAGTGTAACTACTGTAGCAGGAGTAGTACAACACCGACAGCAGTATCAGTACGTGTTTGTCTAACACTGGGTTGCCTGGCTGGTTTTGAGGCTGGGCAGAGAGCGCAGTGCTTGGACCGAAGTCACAGGTCACGTCAGACGCCCACCAGCCACAGTCTGAGCACCACTACAACACAGAGTCTCTATCATCCGTCGCTCATGAAGGAATTCCAGTTATACAGTCACATGCCGTACATCTGTCAAAAACTATTAGACCCCTGCCCGATGTAGGCTGCGACCCACTGGCACACTCACACGGGAGTCAGCCAAGACTTCCTGCTCAAAAACACCCACTGACAAAGCTGCACCATAAAATCTGTGGGGAATAATCACAGCTTTCTTTTAATGCTCTAACACGAAAAAAGCTCGAGGGACGCGTTTCACCTGGTGGTTTTAAAACCCTCCCCGTGCCAGACCGAGACACAAAGACAGGCACACGGACCTCCAACAATGACTTTACAGAATAACCAGCTGATTGAGGGAAAAGTAGGCAAACTGAAGCAGGAGGTAGGCAACAGACCCCTGGTGTCTACGACGCTTACACGGTCTTAATAAAGGTTGCATTAAGAGTCGGATCAGCCATTAGAGTAGCTCTGCTTTAAATATGAAGGGTGATAAGATCAAGGCGCTGTAAGGTGTGCAGTATTTTGCATGGCCAAAGCACAACTTCACACACACATGTATTTATATTCATAAGCGCTAACCTGGGTACAGACATCACTGAGGTAACACAGCGGTCTAACCGATTACATGCTTCAAGTACTTTGGATTTAGCCGTGATTTATTTTACGTCAAACTAAATACTCGTCGTGATATCAATACAGGCGGGGTTTTGCGCTCTTTCGAACAAGAGGGATTCTGGTAGTTTTAAACAGGTTTATGTACCGAGCGTAAGCTAGCTAGCAGGACTCGGGGGTCGTTAGCCCACCTGTCGAAGTAACGAATGTAAACCCGACACTCGCTGTAACAGCGGCAAGTATGAACAACTTTATGAGACATTAAAGAAAGTTACCTCACTTCTTAGAGGCAAAAAAGTCACAGTCTGCATTACCTCTATCCACCTCACGGTTATCTTACCTGAGGTCGCCGAAGGGGGGGGGGGGATAGAAACTTGACCAGTGTCCGCCCTTATTTCCTGTCAAAACTCTCCTTCCTTTAAAAGTGTGAAGCTGTTTGGGAAACTAAAGCGCCCGTAGAAAAATGCGTTTCTCCGTTTAAAGTAAACCTCTATCTGAAAGCAGCGCTGGAGTGGTTTCTCCGTCTGTAGCAGCCGTCTGTCCCCGGCACAGAGGCGCAGTGAGCGGTCTCTGAACAAGTGCTTTGTCCCGCTGGTCCGCCGCGATGATGAGGCCCGCCGCGCTACACCGCCGCCTTTCAACCGCAAGAGGTCGCGCTTTCTGCCTTAGCACGACGACACACCAGACGCACGCATTATTAGAAAGCAATGTTTTCGCAGCAGACACATAGTAATAACATTTAGCAACAAAAGGGCTCAAAAAACGGAAGCAGGCATAGTCTTCCGCTAGACGATATAGTTCTTAAAGCTCATCAACAAACCGGCTTCAGCGTAGATGCTTAAGAGGGACCGTAAAAAGTTTACACTAGTTGGAAAATAACACCGAGAGGGGAAAAAATACAAATTAAAACTTTTGCTAGGATTTGTTTTCAATAAAAGCTGTATTTTTGGCACGTGCTCTTTAATTATGTATTTATTCATTCATTTGGCTGGAGGAGTTTTTACAGGTTTATACCTGTAAGTCAGATATAAAATTAGAATAAAAGTTTGCAGTTGGGGGCCAACACATGTGTTCAGTGTACTGTCACATAAACACTCATATTAAATAACACTGATACTTCACAGCAGTTCTAATACAGTTTGATAAAATTAATAAATGGAGAAAAAAACTGGTGTTTTTAATAAGTTGAGCTGATAGAGTAAAATAGTGATAGTAGTAGAGATGATAGTGCCATATAAACAAATACTGCTCATTTATTCCCTGTATTTTTACTTTAATGCTGCTCTGTTACACTGTTATTCCCAATGAACCTTAATAAACAAGGATTAAAGAAGGAGTTCTTGTAAATAAACCTTTGGTATTTCACTCCGGGAAAAACACTGTGATATACATGATTCATGTTAGTGTAATGCTTTGTGATTCAAAATTCAAAATGTCCTGTTTCTTCTGGGGGGAGGGGGGAGGGGGGGGGGGCAAACACTTGCTTTTAAAAGAATAAGATCACATCACGCTTTGTCTCGTGCAGTTTTTCCTTCACTGTTCTATTTTCATCTCACAACCAATCGATTTTTGGTTATTCGTTTCCTAGAGCGTACAAGATCAAAGCAGTGCAAACTGTAATAGTCGGGAAGGTGTCACCTTTCGTGTTTACGTGCACAAAAAGAGTGAAGTTCAAGAGGTTCACCTCCTTGGATCGGTGCCACAAACACTGCTAGTGCCAGGTCAGCTAAGAGTACAATGTGGAGAGGAATGTTTTACTTCATTCCTTTTAAATCAGGAATAAAAACTCTTCATTGCAGTCTTTTTTTAAACATTTCCCCTTCTAGTGCCGCACAGCACAGGTCACTGTGATTGTCCACGTCCAAATCCTCCATGACATGTAGCTGTAATCGGCTGCTTCATTTGTAAATAGAGCTGTAACTTTAATCCTCAGTCACGCAACTACATTTTAATATAATTATAGAATTCAGCAGCCTAAACTCCTCCAGTAAGGCATTGCATTACATATTCATAAGCTTGATGGTAGCCTGGCTTACCTGGCTTTATCTGTACAGGTTTTACTTTTAAGTCTCAATCAGTAAATTATGTCTAAATATACTCATATATCAGCGAGATTCATCAAATCTGAGAGAAAATCTGAGAGAAATCAGCATAAATCCAACATATATGTAAACCTGCCATCATATCAGAGGTTATTTAGTCCCTGTACAGTAATTGTGTTTTTCTGTGTGTGAGGTAGCACGTCTGACTGTTTTGTAGAGTTTGAACCCAACACATCCCAGCAAAGCAGTCCTGCAGGGGGCCAGACCTGCACACACCTGTTACTGTAGGGAATGTTCACATGTTGAGAACAAGAAAAAGACCTCATTCCTCAAAATACAAACATATCAAGAGTTTGCTTCCGACAAGTACTCGCATCCTCAAAGCAGTCCAAGGGACCCGTGTCCCAGTCTGAGCTTCAGCCACAGACACTAAATAATTACTCTGTAAAAGCAGAGTGTGTGTGTGTGTGTGTGTGTGTGTGTGTGTGTGTGTGTGTGTGTGTGTGTGTGTGTGTGTGTGTGTCCTGAAATCAGACGTATTTTTCTGGTTGATATTTTCTTTCTCGACAGCGTCCATTAAAGACTTTAAGACACAGATAACCACTGGGTGTCAGTCACAGAGGGACTCATCTGCAAGATGGGACACTCTGGTCCAGTATGACCCCAACACCATTAGACACCTTGTCTGTTAGACCCACTGATCCATAAACAAAAAGCTCCACTTTGCTGCCAGTATTACTACAGTCCCTTAAGAAACAGCAAGACACTGAAGTTTTTCCAGTTCAGCTGAACTGTAATTCCCTGTTTACTAGCTTGGATAAATCATCTCTCTCTCGCCTTCAGGCGATACAAAATACTAACTCGTCCTACCAAGCGTGTTCACATTACTCAGATCTTATATTC